TAGGATTCTTATACAAATATGCTTTTCACCTGCAAGCTACCTATTAGAGTCAGCACTTAGAGAAACAATGTAAATGAACGGGGGTTGGGGGGGCATGTACCCAGCCCAGGATACCAGTACCAGGAAGATAAGTCCTCATAACTTCCAGCTGCAAAAACCAGCAAGGATGGAGTCAGGAGAAGAACCTTCTGAAATTTCAAGCAGTTTCTCTTAAAGAACCCACATACAAACTTACTCAGTCTCACTCCCTCTGAGCTCCAGCACCGGGGTAGCAGCTTGAAAGGCACAGTGGCATATAGGGAGGAACTGAAGTGGCTGGCATCAAGGTGAGAGCTTGGAGACAGCTTTTTCCCCCACAGAAAAGTGGGTGGAGTCCCAGAGTTAGCAGGCTGGTGCCATATTTGAAACTTCATCAACCTGGCTTTTTCCATCAACACTGGTTTCCCAGCTATGGAAATGCCCTGAGGCTCCATCCCACCCAATTTACAGTTGTTAGTAGTTTTTCCATATGAATCACTGGTCTTGCTTCAAGCTTCACAACTTCCTAAATCCTTTCAAACAAGCAACAGCTGGCCTCAGTGAATTCCCCAGCCCTGATCCACTAAGTGGCCCCAGGCACAAGTAGCATAGCAGCCAGCCTAGATTCACAGCTTGGCTTCACCTGGGAATCTCCAAGCCTAACACAAGTAGCAGCCATCTCAGATTGCTCAGGCAGGGTGGCCCCAGGCAAAACACAGGTGGCGACTGACTTTGGCCTGAACCACCCGGGGAACCCCAGGGTCTGCACAACCAGTGAACAGCTACAGACCACATCAGAGCACCACCACCCTGCCCCTGCACAGCTGATCCTCCATGTAGGGCAAACGCTGGTGGTCAGTGGTCACAGCCAGTCCTTGCAGTGGACTGGCCTGGGTAAATTCCTCCCATTGATCTACCAACAACAATCATGGTTCAACTACAAGAGGAGGGTGTACTCAGCCCACACAAAGCGTGCACCTCAAGTACACAGCTTGGGTGATAGGGGAGGTTGTGCCACTGGACCCTACAGGGCACCTACTACATTAGACTACATGACAAAGACAGGGGATCACAGCAACTCTACCTAACACATAGATACAAGTACAGGGAGGCACCAAAATGAAGAGAGAAAGAAACATAGTCCCAATGAAAGAACAGGTCAAATCTCCAGAAAAAAGTAAACAAGGGGGAGATAAACAATCTATCAGATGCAGAGTTCAAAACACTGTTTATAAGAATGCTCAAGGAACTTAGTGAGGACCTCAGCAGCATAAAAAAGATCCAATCAGAAATGAATCCTACACTAATTGAAATAAAAAACACTTTACAAGGAAACAACAGTAGAGTGAATAAAGCTGAGACTCACATCAATGATTTGGGGCATAAGAAAGCAAAAAACAACCAGTCAGAACAACAAGAAGAAAAAAGATTCCAAAAAAATGAGGATAGTGTCAACAGCCTCTGGGGTAACTTCAAGCCGTCCAACATTCACATTATAGGGGTGCCAGGAGGAGAAGAGAAAGAGCAATGAATTGGGAATCTATTTGAAAAGATAATGAGAGAAAATTTCCCTAGTTTGGTAAAGGAAATAGACATGCAACTCCAGGAAGCACAGAGAGTCCCAAACAAGATGGATGCAAAAAGGCTTGCTCCAAGACACATTATAATTAAAATGCCAAAAATTAAAGATAAAGAGAGAATCTTAAAAGCAGCAAGAGAAAAGCGGATAGTTACCTACAAGGGAGTTCCCATAAGACTGTCAGCTGATTTCTCCAAAGAAACTTTACAGGCTACAAGGGATTGGCAAGAAATATTCAAAGTCATGAAAAGCAGGGACCAACAGCCAAGATTGCTCTATCTAGTAAAGATATCATTTAGAATTGAAGGGCAGAAAAAGAGCTTCCCAGAAAAGAAAACAACTAAAAGAGTTCATCATCACCAAACCATTATTATAAGAAATGTTAAAAGGACGTATTTAAGAAAAGAAGATCAAAACAATGAACAATAAAATAGCAATAAACACATCCCTGTCAACAATTGAATCTGAAAAACAAACTAAGCAAACAAAAAGAACAGATACAGAATCATGGACATGGAGAGCATTTTGATGGTTGCCAGATGGGGGTGTGGGGGGATAGATGAAGAGGTGAGGGGATTGAGAGGTACTAATAGGTAGTTACAGAATAGACATGGGGGTGTAAAGTACAGTATAGGAAATGGAGTAGCTGAAGAACTTATACTCATGACCCTTGGACATGAACAAGGGTATGGAATTGCCTGTACAAGTGGGGGGTGCTGGGTGGAGGCTGGCAATGGGGGAAATTCAAGACAATTGTAATAGCATAATCAATAAAATAGAATTAAAAATAAATATAATATAATTTTAAAAATTAAAACATTGAGTCCAAGTGGTGAGTACTCTATTTCCTGGATATTTGTGTGTGCTTGAGCAGACCTACAGTAAAAAGTTTTAAAAATAGCACCTTAATCACTGTAACAAAACACCTTCACTTTTTCCCAATCTCTTAATTAATTACTTAATTTCTAAAGTTGACTTACTAAAAAGGGGCCACCCCCCCCCAAAAAAAAAGAATGTCTGCGTTTATAGGGCTCTCAGAGCTCCTGTGGTGTAGCTCTCTGGGTGGCAGGACCTGGCCCAAATCCCTAGATCCAGGTCACTGGTCTCACTTGATGACTTAACTCCCTGCAGTGGGGAGCTTCCTACCTGCTTCCTCACAGCCTCCAAAAATACCTGAAGTTACCAGGTTCAAAATCACACACTCCCAGCCACACACAGTCATATACACACACACTCTCACATACACAATAATGGGCTGGGCTGGTGACTCTTCAAGCCTCCACCTCTGAATCAGGGAACCACGGTGAACACTTTCAAAGCCCCCTCCTTCCACAAGGGCTTCGGAAAACCCAGCCTCCTTCCTTGGCCAGCCTCCACTTTCCGGGTGCCCTTAGCTCCACCCTGCCCGGGTGTGCCCTGCCACAGCCAGCCAGCCAGTGGCAGGGACAGGGGAAACAGGAATAATAATTTGGATGCAAAACAGGTTGGGAGGGGTGAGGATTGAGGCCTAATGGGAAGGGCAGGGGTTTGGCAAGATGAGGGTGAGAAAGGCTATGCCCACAAGAGTCCAGAACCCTGGTGAGTGTCTGCAGGGCCTGGGTGTCCGCCGTCAAAGAAAACTTGCACCAGTCGAACAGGCACAGAAGACTTTATTCAAGACCATACAACAGGGGAGAGTGAATGAACTCAGCTCCTCGGAAACAAAAGTTGGGAAGGGTTTTTCGCTCTCGACGGGCTAGTGGAAGGATGGAGCTGGAGGATGAGGAGGCGGAGCTTGGTCCACGGGATGCGTGCCGCGCACTGAGTCATTCCTGGGTTCGCAAATGTTTTCCTCTGTGATTAGGCCATCTGCGCTCACTAATTGTCACTTAGTCAAGTTCAGCTCCTACCCTCCTATGGAGCTGGGAGACGGGGTGTTATCTTCCTGGATGAGGACATTTCACAGGGGTGGCGCCCAGGTCCCTGAGAAGGGCATTCCTGGGTGGTAAAACTGGCAAGAGGTGGGGAGGAGATTTACCTACATTCAAAGGGACAGACAGACAAGGAATTTGCGATGACAAGTTTTTTAAAGTAAATGCTCCAAGAAAAGGAAAGTGTGGGGGAAAGTATATGCTTATATTCAGGAAGAAACATGTATAAAATATAGTCAAGCTCAGGGGACAGCTAAGGCTGTCCCAGTCACTGCAACTATTGTCAACTTGGTCCCATCCATCTGTGCATCCGTGACTCCAAGTCTCTGCACGTGCTTGGTGCCCACCCTGCACAGCACGGAGAGTAGATGTGCTCCCAGCAGGCAGCTCCTCCAAGCAGGAGGAAGAGGGGCATCAGGAGAGCTGACCTGGGGTCTCTGTCCCAGCTCCCACTGCCTGCAGGGACACCCATCTGGGTGTTCCCATTGGCCCTATGTCTGAGTGTCCACATGGGTGTGTCTGTCTGTACCCCCTGGTTGTCTGCCTCTGTCTCTATCTCATCCAGTTTTTGAAATTCATTCATTTACTAATTGGATAAACTTTTATTAGGTGCCCTCTGCGGGCATGTCCTGTTCATTGGAGTGTCTGAGTGGGCCTGTGTGTCTACCTTTATATCCATCCACACTGTCTTTGTATATCCTACATGTAACTCTGGGATTCCTCTCTCTCTCTCTCTCTCTCTCTCTCTCTCTCTCTCTCGCTCTCTCTTGCTCTTGCTCCCCCTTCCCTCTCTGTTTGTACATTCACTGTTTCACTTATTCATTCAACTTGGCAAGCATCCCCTGAGGCTTCTGAGGGGGTTGCAGGCTGATGGGGGAGAAAGACAATAACCCAATCCAGGGCGACCACGGGCTGGAAGACAGAGAGGTGCTTGACGCTGAGTGGGGGTGTGTGAGCGGGGACAGAGCGGGTCCCAAAAGTTTCCAGGAAGATGGGATGTTTGTGTCTCTGGGTCTGGAGACATGGCCTCAGGATTGGAGGTTGTGTGTCTGAGTTTGTGGGTCCTGTGTGTTGGGGTGGAGGAAGAGGAGAGATCAAGAGGCCATGTGTGCCACCCTCAGACTAGAACACAGTGTGGGGATCAGGGTAGAAAGAGAGCCAGCAAAATGCAGATTCCTCCACTATTAAGAGTTGTAGGTCCCTAACCCCCTCCTCCCTCAGACCCAGGAGCCCAGGCCCCCAACACTCTTCCCTCAGACCTGGGAGTCTAGGCCGCAGCCCCTCCTCCCTCAGTGCCCGGGAGTCATCTTGGCCTCACCGTGAATATCTAGGAGGAGACCAGCCCTAGGGAGGAGGGCGGGGGTGGAAGAATCCTGCCAAGCTGGGGAGCTGGGATGCCTGGAGCCTGGCCCAAAGAACCGGCCACCAGCTGAGCAGGTATCAGAGCAGGAGGAGCTGTCCACGGTGTCTCTGCTCAGCTTCTGGACCTGGCGATGGGAGTCCCCAGGGCCATCCTGCTCCGCCTCTATGTGGCTGTGCTCTGCCTGGCAGGTATGCAGACTTCGGGGTCCAATGACAAGAAGGGCCTGGTGGGGACCTGGACTCCCAGGTCTGAGGGAGGAGGGGCTGGGGGCCTGGACTCATGTTTCTTGGCCATGGAGAGGCCTGGAGACGGTGTTGTCTTCATTTCTGTTCTATCAGCGTCTCCATTTTCCCTCTTCCTGGCACTTCAGGCTTCCTCATCTTCCTTGCCCAAGACTCCAGTCAAGGGTACTTCTGGGGAGTGATGGGGTCTCTGGGGAACTGTCAGGGAACCTTGGCCTCACGCTCAGGCAACCTCTTCCCCCAATTTGGGTAAGAACAGGGACATGCTCATCAGGCCTGAAGTGGTTACACAGACAAGGAGTTGGAGAGGTGGGAAGGAGCTACGTCTGCACGCAGCTGATGTATGTGGGCATCTGTGGAAGATAAGCCTGGGGGTGTGTGTGGAAATGGGTCACCGTGTCCCGTGGGTCTCTGTGGTTGTGTGTGTTTCTCGGTATCAGGTTTTGATGTCTGGGTGTTTGAACAAATGTTTTTACGGGTGTTTATCTCTTAGCTTCACTTTTTTAATAAAAGACATGCCCATATAATTTTGTACATGTGTGTCCCTCTTTGTGTGTGTGCATCTCTGTGATTGGTAAGCCTACACTCACCTCTGTGTATATGCGCTGGGATATTTTGATGTGTGTCTGTCACTGAATGTACCTGTGTCTCATGTCTCCATGTGTCTTATACCTATGATTTTAAATTGTGTGTTTTTGTGGGTCTTTTTTGTGTACCCCTAACTGCACAGCTGTGGTCTTTCTCCTTGTGTGTCTGTGATACTTGGGTCTGTACTTGTCTCTCTCTGGGTATGACTTCCTGTGCCCCTGGGTCTCTGTGTGGGGTTAACTGGTTCCAGAGCCACACGTTTTTCTCTCTGTGAGTAGAATTTTGCTTGTGTGAGCTGCCGTGCCTTGGTCTGGGGGGCTTCTATTGGAGGGTCTGAATGCTAGTTGTTTTGTGTGTGAATGGCTGCCTTCAGGACACTGTATGTCCATCTGTGAGATTTGCATGAGCCTGTCAATCTTGTTCTTTTGTATTTATGTCAGCGTTGAAGTCCCGTGTATAGCTCCAGGGTTGGTTGTGTATGCGGTTTCTGTAGTTCGAGATCACACATCCCGCTGCTTGTATTGTAGTATCTGTTTTCCAGTGATGACCTTTAAATGCAATTGAACTTCAAGAGTGTAGTTGGGATAGGGAGGGGCAGAGCAGGGGTGAATCACTTCCTCGGTATTTAAATCTCAAAGAGCTTCCTGAAAGAGATTAAGACCTGGAACAGGCGGGGGGGGGGGGGGGACACACACACACACACACACACACACACACACACACACACACTGGCCTGGCAGGTGCACAGAGGCCATTACTCTGCCATCGGGTAGAACAGCCAGAACCAGTGGCGGCAGCAGACCCTGCTTCTCTGGAGGCAACAGGGTCTGTCTCCCCTCAGTGACCAGCGCGGCCGGTGTGGCTGTCATGCAGGGTGGAGCCCTGAGTGCCTGGCCCGGCTCCGCTCACCTCCCCCCTGCTCCTCTCTGCAGCGTCCCAAGCCCTGCAGTGCTACAGCTTTCAGCACACCTACTTTGGGCCCTTTGACCTCAGCGGCTTGAAACTTGCCAACGTCTCCTGTCCCTATGGATGCTCTGAGGCCGTCGTGTCACTGGACACTGGTGAGGAAGCAGCAAAAGGCGAGGGGGGTGGGGAGAAGCGTGTGCAGAAGAGAAAGGGGCAGGAGACAGGGACAGGGTGAGAGACTAGGGGGGGAGGGGCAGAGCCGAGTTGGAGGAATTGGGTGGAAAGGAGGGGAAGGACAGGGAAAGAGTCGGGAGGTGGAGGAAAGGGAGAAGAACGACAAAAAAAAAGGGGTGGCTGAGAGCGCGAGGTGCGGAAGGAGGAGGAGGCAACGGGGAGCCAGGGAGAGGGGGAAAAGGCGGCCGAGAGGAGGAAAAGGAGAACAGGGAGGAAAGGGACGGGCCCGAGGGCGAAAGAAGGTTAAGTGACCGAGAAGGGGGGTAGAGGGGAGGGAGAGGCTTGAGACGAGAGGGGGGCAGGCGGAGAGCAGAGGTCGGAGCGAGAGGAGGGGTGGGGGTGGCGGAGCAGGAGGGAGGCGGGGCGGAGGCCGCGCCCCGAGCGCGTCTGCTGGCGTCCGCAGGGTACCGCGCCTCGGTGACCGTGGTACAGAAGGGCTGCTGGACGGGCCCATCCACCGGCCAGATGGTGTCGAACGACTACGCGCTGCCGCCCGACTACTCGGTAGTGCGCGGCTGCACAACCGACTGGTGCAACGACGACCTCATGACCCACGACACCATCCCCAACCTGAGCCCAGGTGCGCCCGAGGGCTGGACGGGGCGGGCGCGGGCGCGGGGGCGGGGCAGTGCGCCACCCGCACCGCCCACGGGAGAACCGTCCCCCGAGCGTGAATCTGCGCTCTCTTGCCAGCGCCCAACCCCCAGACGCTCAGCGGCCTCGAGTGCTACTCCTGCGTGGGGATCCACCCCGAAGACTGCACCCCGGAGAAGTCCCGACGGGTCCGGTGTCACCAGGGCCAAAGCGTCTGCTTTCTGGGCAATGGCCAAGTGACCGTCGGTGAGAGGCTGGGAGGGGAGGGGGCCTGGAGGCGCCCGGCAGGGAGACAGGGCCCTGAAGGAAGAGCTGTGGCTCTTCTCTGAGGGAGAAGGCGGCCGCGGTCTGAAAGGCCAAGGTACAGCCTGGTCTGAAGGAGGCGTGAGCCTGGGAGGAGGCACGGCCCAGCCTAAGGAGGGAGGCGGGAAGGAAGTGTGCGGACCCAGCGGTGGCGCTGGCCTCCTTCCGCTCTGACCGCTCCTCTCCGTCTCCCCTCGCCAGGCAATTTCTCAGTCCCCGTGTACATCAGAACCTGCCACCGGCCCTCCTGCACCGTCGTGGGCACCACCAGCCCCTGGACAGACATCGACCTGAAGGGCTCCTGCTGTGAGGGGCACCTCTGCAACGGGGGCTCCACGACCCAGCCCTCGGACACCGCGTCGGCCGCCACCCCTCCCCTGGCGCCCCACATCGCGGCCCTGCTCCTCGGGGTGCCCCTGCTGGCTGGCACGCTGGGAGGACCCCGCTGCCTCTCGCTGTAGGCAGCCCCTCCAGCCTCTCCGTGAGCAGGATGCTCACCGCTCACTGCTTCAGCCCCTGTGCTGTGCAACATGATGTCAAACTGGAGTTGCATTCCTTTCTCTCCCGCTGCCCTGTCCTCACCTACTCGGCAGGCCTGGGAGCAGTTGGGCAAGGGCCCCCGCATCCCAAGGTGAGGAGGCACAGCCACATCCTGCACTTCACGAAGAGCAAACCCCATAGTAGGTATTATTTGCTGAGCACCAGCCAGGCCACAGCACCCCAGGACGGTGATTCGCGTGCTCCCCTCTGGAGCCAAGACCAGCTCCAGCAGGGAGCTGCACGATGCCTCTATTAGTATCATCCCGAGAGGCTGGAGAGGCAGCGTAACATAAAAGTTAGGAGCCCAAACTCTGGAGCCAAGTTGAATGGGTTCAAGGCCCAGCTCTGCCTTTCAGCCTGTGGGGGACCTTGGGCAAGTTAGTTAACCTCTCTGCAGCTGTGTTTCCTCGCCTGTAGGGCAGAGGTGAAAATAAAACCTATGATAATGACAAAAGCTACTTCACAGTGGTTGTGGTCAGGATTTAATGAGCTGAACATGGAGTACCTGGGATGCGACATTTGACCAGCATAGGTGAGCTTTTGTCACAATCCCAATGTGACAGATGAGCAAATGAGAGGTGCAGGCACTTGCTTGAGCTCATGTAGCCTGTGAGTGGAGAGTGGGAAGTGTGACTCCCAGCCTCGCGAACCACCAGGCCGCGCCACCTCCCAAACGTGTGGGTGTTGATTCACGTGACAGAAACACACTCGAGGCAAAACTGAACCAGGCAAAATTCTCCACCCGGTGAAGATTGGAGAAGGTTTCCTCAGGGAATTAGATCTTAATCAAACTCCTAAAGGATAAAAAGGCCCTGGCAAAGGGAAGTAGGAGGAAGGGTGTTCTAGGCGAGAGGGACCGCCTGGACGAAGATCCGGAGGTAGGAATGGCTCCAGGGTGTGCAGGACGCTTACATGAGCACAGGAACTTCATCCTCTTGTGCACATACTTCTCAAGGTCCTTTTACACCCTTCCTCCCACCCGATCCTCCCAGCGACCCAATGAGGCAAGCAAGTAGGGCAGTTGCATCCCCATTTTGCAGACTAGTTGCCCAAGGCGCAGTGAGAGAGCGATTTCAGGGTTGAGTGGCAGAGCAAGGATGGATCCCCACACTTCACTGTCCCTCAAGGGGTGGCTTTGTGGGGCAAAGGACATCTCAGAAGCCCTGCCACACTCCTGTGAGGTCACAGGAGAAGGGCTCTAGATGTTTCCACATTCCTGACATAGAAGAGGAAGCTGGGTGTCATTACTCTTGCAACATCACATTTACTGAGCACCTCCTATGTGCCAGGCACTGTTTTAGTTGCTGGGCATACAGCAATTGAACAGGACTTTCAAGGAGCTGACCTTCCTGGTGGGAGAAGCAGACTTGGATTTTATTGCAACATGAGGTTTAAAACTAGGGTGGTCAGTCTAATTGTCAACTTGGTGGGGCCACTATCCGTTATTCATTCAAACGCTAATTTCAGTGTTGCTGCAAAGGATTTTGTAGCTGTGATTAAAGTCTATGGTCAGTTGGCTTTAAATATGGGAGATTGCCCTATACCATCTGGCTGGGCCTCATTCAATCAGTTGACAGGCCTTAAGAGCAGAGCTGAGATTTCCTGGAAAAGAAATCTGCTTGCAGACAGCAACGTCAGCCCATGCCCGAGATGTCAGCCTGCCCTTTCAGACAGCCTGCCCTGCGAGGTGCAAACTTGTCTGACCAGCCCCACAATTGTGGAAGCCACTTCCTTTGCAATACAGAACTAATATATATGGCTACTGTTGTTCTGACTGATCCAAGACTGATACAGAATCCAACAGGATTTATAGCAGGGGGTTACCATGACTATATATATAAAAAATTATATATTATTGTATATAATATATGTATATCTTATATATAATATACATATTACATTATGGATATTATATGGTTTATATAATGTTATATATTGTGCATAGCTATATACATATATAATTACATGAGAATTTTTCATCAAGATATAAAACACATACAGTAAAATGCATAAAGTGCAATTTTTTGGGGTGTATACATCCAAGTAGCCTCCACCCAGATCAAGATGCAGGGCAGCTCCAGCCCCCGCCCGAAGCCTCCCTCCTAGCCCTTCAGAGGCACTTTCCCGCCCGGAGGCAGCCATCGCTCTGACTTCTATCACAGAGGAGTGTTGCCTATTTTTGTGCTTCATATCAATGGAGTCCTGCGCACGTCTTCCCGTGCCCCTGCTTTTCGTTTTAAGAGAATCCCTGCAGCAAGAATGGAAGCCGCAACCTCTGAGGTGTCTACCCCCCCCCACCCCCCGTCCAGGTGTGTGACGATGGTGGAGGCCACAGGGGTAGGGGGAACGGCTGGAAACAGGATAGATTTTGTTGGTGGAGCCGACAGGACTTGACACATTGGCGGAGGGGTGGAAGGGGAAGAAAAAATAAGACAACTCCGAGGTTCCGGCCTGAGGAACGGGGTAAATGGTGATGCCGTTTACCAAAGAGAGGGACTGATAGAAGGGCGCGAGACTCGACAGTGGGTGATGGACATGTTGAACCTGATTCAGTTTAAGAGCACTTCAGTTTGCACAGGTCCCTGGGTTCTAGACATGGCCTCCTGCACCGCTGTGAAGCAGTAACCCAGCCTCCTCTTGGCAATCACCCCAGCACCAGAGGAACCCTCTGCTGTGCCTGTTGGTTCAATGGTGTGAGGAGCCCAAAATGGCCAGGTGGCGGACTCCCCTTCCAGTTCAGTGGAACCATCACTGTGTCCTCTGAAGGGAACCAAGACCGACGACCCAGCAGAGCTTAAAGTCATGGGGATGGGAAGCAAACATTCTGCACATAGGTTTAGGTGTAACAGTGAGAGGAGCCCCTGCCACCCCTTGTCACCTGGACCCACGAATGTGGGTTATGGGCAAGTCAGCACCTGAAGCATGTGCTGCATCCTGGGAGACAGAGCCCCGTCCTCCGAGGGTGTCGGCAACAATAACTGACTCATTCCACTGTTTTTTCAAACGAGCTTCTCCTGGTGATGGGGTAAGAGGTAAGACCAGGGAAGTACATGGGCCTGAGCCCATTGCCACACTTCGTTTGCTGTGTGAGGAGTTCTCTGGTCTCGAGTAAGGCTGTGTGCACCACGCATTGGAGTCCTGCCGTCCCGGGGAGGGAGCTGATTGTGGTGGGAGGAGGAAGGGGAGCCCTTCACCCTCCAAGCTTCCCTGCACACACAGCGGGCTGCTTCAGGCACAGGTCTTGGAAAACAACTCGTAGGTGGTAGGGAACCGGCATTACCAAACATGGATTGAGACACACCGGTGCGTGTCATTCACTGGGATCCCCCTGTGTTCCCGGTGAGGCGCTGAATGCCGGGGCCATGGAGGGGAGTCCCAGGCTGATGGGAGAGGCAGATCCATGCTCAGGCAACCAGGAGCCTACGGCGGAGGGATGTGGAGGGACAAGAGGAGCCAGTGCTGGGGAAGGGACACATTGGGGCCGGGGCCGGCAAGAGGAGAACCTGGTGCCAGGTCTTAAGGCGTGCCAGGTGGACAAAAAAAGGGGACGGCACTCCAGTCAGGGGGCCCAGATCATGCAAATAGAGACACAGAGGCAGAAGTAGTCTTGCTAGAGATTCAACAAACAGTTGTCATTCAACCTTCTGTGCTTGGTGATTCTGGAGAACCCTACCCCTGCAGGGTCCCAGGTCTGACAGGGGCCCTGGCAGACACGCCCCAGGAGCAATCAGGGCAGTAAATAAGGAGGGTGCCGGTGCTGGTGCTGGAAGGGCTGGAAGGTAGAGGAGAAACCTGACTGGACGGTTGGGGCATTGGGACATCAGGGGTCACTTCATAGAGGACAAAGCAGGTGCTGGGTCCTGAAGGATGAGTAGGAGGTCACCAGGCTAACAGTGTGGGGAGCAGCATTCCAGGCAGAAGGACCAGCCCGTGACAGGGCGTCAGGAAACATTTGTTAAGTGGCAGGGAGACAGCAAGATAGTGGCAGGGACAAGTGAGAGTCAGAGCTGCAGGGAGGGACAGGTGGCAAACATTTACAACTCATTCTCCTGAGCTGAGTGGGGGGACCCAGCGATGAGCCGGACCCAGCCCTGCCCTCCTGCTCTGGAAAGAGACAGTCACAAATGCGGAAACCGCGGTGGGTGAAGCCTGACGTGTGAGGGTCTAAGGGAGCTCCAGAGAGGAAGACCAGGGAAGGCTTCTGAGGGGGATGGATCTCTGAAAAGACACCTAAATGGCAAGTAGGACTTGGCAAAGGAGCAGGCGGAAGGGCATTCCAGGGAGGAAGGACAGTAGGCACAGAGGCTTGGTCTGTATATAAAGTATGAGAGAGGAAGATGAGGATGAAGAGAGTGGCAGGGCCCCTGGGAGTGAGGATAAAGTTTCCCGAATTTTCCTCTGCAGCCAGTGGGGATCTACGGCAGGGCTTGGAGCAGGGGGAAGCGTGGCCAAAGCAGGTGACGGGGCGCTCTCCCTGCGGCCACGCAGGGCACAGACTGGAGGGAGTGAGGCCGAAGGCAGGGAGACCAGGGAGAGGTTCGTGATGGGGTCTCTCACTCTTGGTCTCCAGGGTCGTGGGCCACTTAGAGTGGGAGGGCTTGGAGGGAGGAGGAGGGACTGAGAAAACAGAGTATGTGAGGTCTGGGCATTAGGAGGAGTAAAGTTCCTTAAGACAGGGGTTTCCTATGGAAGCTTCACGGCCTGGAAGATTCTGGGGCGTAGTGACAGTCTCCCTAGGTGGCCTAGGTGTGTGTGATGATTTCATGGGGGTTCGCTATAAAATTATTTGTCCAAAATATACCCCTATATTTTATGCACCGTCTGCATGAGGGGTATGTTCCATATAAGAAAAATGATGTCAGCAGCAAAGTTGAAGTTAAAGGCCAGGTCTTTGGCCTCCCGTATTGTGGCTTTCTAATCT